ATCAATCCTAGAAAACTTCAATTGGAATTTTTAATGAAATAAAACTCATTTTAGTGATTGACTAGGTAAGGGCTTTGAAATCCCAGCTTATGAGAAAAACCGAATTTCCGAAGTAAAATCAGTGGTCGGTTCTTACAGAGAGAGCCTCTTAATACGGTCACCTCTTTATTGTGTCTACTTTAAAGTGGCCTGAACAGAAGGACTGAGTCAGTCATTTTCTTATTTAAAAAAAAACCCCTTTCATACAGCCAGATTTCTGTGGTCCATTGGTGACTGGATTAACGGGGTTCCATGTTTCCATTTTGTCTCAGGAAACAACCAGAATCTTGGTAAAACAAAACTATCCATTACCGTTGGGACCAGTAAGTGTATAGTATCCACTGGAACCCATTTGGACCATTTAAGGTCCTTTTGATGATTCATTTCTTTTAAGTCATTTTGCGTATCTTTATAGAACCTTTCGCCATTCATTTGCCCACTGGTGCAGTACCAGCAGGAAGAGTGACAGGAGAAGTTTCTGGTGCCGCTGCAAGTACACTTGACAGTGGAGATTCCACTGGAGCGAGAAGTACTTTGAAACGGAAACATTCGGATCCAGATCCTGAACGAGGTATGTAATAATTTTATATACTAGTTATGCAGTGTTTTTGAATGGTATACCATGGAATATCCCACGANCGCCAGTGCGCTGCAGGAAAAAGCTTGCTTGAAGCTTCCCATAGTGCTTTTGGATAACCACCATGACGTCAGCCTGCGTGTCCAGGTTTGGGCTGATGGGAATGCCATTGATGTGAACAGCAACTGTTGGATTCTGTGATTGTCCTTTCTTCAACTGGTACAGACACACATCTTCTAACCATTCCTCTTCTTAAGACACACGGTGTGTGCTTGGCTCCTGCTCAAGCTCCACTGCGTTGGTTCACTTGCTTTTCACGTCGTTAGCAGCACTGTTGCTCACTCGGTTGAAGTAATTCAGACGTCCACACTTAAGTTATCTCCTACCTCTAGCTGGGCATGAATTCTTGTTGACATGTACCTCATTTCCGCACTTGATGCAGTGTTTGGAGCAGCTTCTGTAACTCTTCTCTGCCGACTAATAGCAGTAAGCTGAGCTTGTCGTCATTAGTGACTGCCATCCATCGAGTGGCTCATACAAAACGATCTTTCTTTTTGCATTGCCCTGGTTCACCACTCAAACTCAAGGCTCCCTTGCTTGCTCGTACGCTAGACAGAATTCCAGACAATCCTTCATGGCTGGTTTTGGGTTTGTCGGGCATTTTTTCTTTTTATCCTCGTCGCCAGTACAATAGACTATGGCTGCCATGCTGGCTGAGAATTTTTAAACAACATCGGTAACCGGGCCTGAATGGCCCCAGCATGCAGTGGACCTGGAGCCCAATCCTAGTGGTAAGATACTACACTTACAATTTTGCTATGCTGTAACTTGATATCACAGGATATCATAACAGAAGTTGCAGACAAGGCTTCTGATTGGCTAGAGATGAGATAAGAGCACGGTAAATGCGTATAGGGTTTACCATTCTGATTGGACCCTGACCAGGGAAAATGTGCATTCTTGGTAAACTACATTTGATCAAAAGTTGTTACGATTTGCCTCATTAACTGATGTTTTCGTTTTTCATAAAGAGGTGCTTAAGCAGGTGAAGGAAGAGAAAGGCAGCATCAAGGATAAACTTGGACAGGTGGAAGGTATGTGTCAAACATTCTCAACCAACATACTTCAAATACTCAATCTACAACACAAATGTTTTGAAAAGTAAAAGAGAGACATTGACGAAAAAAATCAGTAAACGTCTTAGGCAAATATATTTCCGTTATTCTCTTGCAACAGAAGGCAACAAAACTGCAGTATCAGTTTGAAAACACTGCTTGCCCCAGTTTTCTACGAGTAAAGCTGACATGCTGACTTTTGCTTCCCCACAGAAAACGTCAAAGAGACACTCGAGCAAATGGGATATCAAGTGAAAAATGTCAGTGAAAAGTTAGACTCCTTAAAGGAATCAAGCCAAGGTGAAGGTCAGTAGACGTTACAATATTTAAAGTTTGCATTTGAAGTTTATTACAATCTATCAAATATTTTGGCTCGCGCACAATTGGTCCACATGCATCACCTCTCTATTTGGCTCGAAAATAAATAAACAATAGCTTCCATTTAAAAAAAAACAAACAAAAAAACAGAGAAGCTTCTGAGAAGCTTGACAAGCTTATCTGTTCCTCGAGAAGCTTCAAGGAACAGATAATGTCCAAGGACATATATCCGAGCTTATAATCCATCAAATATTTTCGCTTGGACGTTATTTGGTCCTCAAAGCAAAAAGAAAAAAATAACGGGGTGACTGTTTAGAAAACAATGTTGGTAATTATTGAATGTTCAAATTGGCAGAAATTTGATAATTTCTGAACATACTGAGGATTTAAGCTCCTTGAACGCTTTTTTTTTAAACATACCGTCACCAGACTTGGAAAATAAATAGTGGACAGTCCAACTTTTTTCACAACAAAATTTACAGCACATGTCAGATGATGACATCATAAACGATGACGTCACACATACTCTTAATTTAAAAGTTGTAAATTCCAACATTCTTTACTGTTTTCGAAAGATAGAAACAAGAGTAGTTGAGAACTGAAAACCGTTTGTTGATATCTTAAATATTAAAGGAGATATGACCATTTAAGTTTCAAAGAATGTTCATCAATTATTCAAGAGATCAAACTATTGTTTAAAAGCGAAAACAAAAAATACGAAACGATACGATTTTTAGGGACACTAAGTTCTTTACTTGACCAAATTTGTAGCATTTTTCAATGAAAACTGGAGAAACCAATAGGCTTGATTTTGATGAAACAATATAGTTCGGGGGGGACTGAAGGATATTTAAATTGCTATAAATAAAAAAAATATTTGTCATAGTGAGAAACGGTTTTCAGCACATTATTCCACAAGTCATTAGCATTTGAATGATGTATTTTGTCGTATGAAATTATAAACTTCATAGACCATATGTATGTGACGGCATCAAATATGATGTCATAATGTGACATTTTGTCGCATTTTTTTTAACTGAAATGATCAAGACAGGAATTCAAGGGTACGAGACAGTACAAGGGTACGAGAAAAATGAACCAAAGTTAGTGTACTTAGATGTACTTATTAAGGGGCGTAAACCCCCAGTGTAGAACATCACTATTTGTTGAGCTATAGTTTGATAGAACTTTGAAAGTGATAACGATCATAAAGTTAACATCAGTGCGCACTTAATGTTGAAGATCGATGTCAATTTTCATCCTCAGAAAAAACTAGAAACGACCTTCAACAGATGAAAAGTATGATAGGGGACATCAGTGACAAGTTAGACACTGCGATGGCACAAAGAGGGAGCGTGGATGAAGGTCAGTTCTAAATAAAAACTGATTACAGTTTTTGCACAGTAAAAGAAAAAACAGCTTATCCAACACATTTTGACGAAAGTAAAAAGAACTAAACGATTTCATGTGGTCATTATCTTATAATCAGCTGTGAGTGAGTTTTTAAACTGTTATTGACAAATTTGTTTCGGTGGAGGTCTTTAAATTAGAAATTATGACTGTACATTACCCAAATACTGAATATTTGTATGCTCTGAGAGATCATGTAGGCTCATTTTCTGTCCCTCACTTACTCCGCCAGTGCTCGTTTACGCGGGCTCTCTTAACTCACTTTACTTACACGTTTGGTGACATGATGACAAGAATGTGCTGTACAGAATTGTCTAGGTAAAACATGACTCTTATGGATTGACTTGATTGTTCTTCCTCTCAAACTAATGTTTAACGTGTTATTCTCAGACAAAACGAGAGATGATTTAAAGGAGATGACAATGGAAATACGAACCATCATTATACTGCACCTCAACTGATACATTAATAAACAAATGCGAAAAATGAGGGAAGACTGTTTAGAAACTAGTGTTAGTAATTATTGCATGGTCAAACTGGCAGAAATTTGATGATTACCAAACGTTAATATTTGCCGGGCTATAGTTTGATATGACAGTAATAGCGAATGCATGATCATAAAGTTAACATCTGCGCGCTAATGAACGAAAACTGATGTCAATTTTCATTTTCAGACAAATCCAGAAACGACTTTCAACACATGAAAAGTGAGATAGCGAACATGAGTGAGAAGTTAGACACTTTGATGGCACAAAGACAGACCGACGATGAAGGTCAGTTCTAAATAAAAACTGATACAGTTAAGCTGATCTAGCGAAAGAAACATTTTGACGATAGTGAAAAAAGAACTGAATGATCTTATGCAGTCATTATCTTATACTCAGTTGTGAGTCGGTCTTTTAAATTGTTTTTGAAAATGTTGTGTTGGCGAAGTTCTTTAAATTAGAATTATGATTTCACATTACCCAAAAATTGTATATTTGGCTACCCTGAAAGATCATAAAGGCTCATGATCTGTCCCTCAGTTACTCCGCCAGTGCTCGTTTTGGCGGGCTCTTTTTCCTCGTTTTATTTACGTTTCGTGACATGATGACGAGAATGTGCTGAAATAGGTTATCTTGGTAAAGCATGACTTTCTTGTTTGTATGGATTGACTTGATTGTACTTCAACTCAAACTAATGCACAACGCCTTATTCTCAGGCAGAACGAGAGATGATTTCAAGGAGATGAAAAGGGAAATACGAACCATCAGTGAAAAGTTGAAAAGTCAAATGACATCAGGAGAAGAAGGTATAGATTTCATATGTTTATGGCGATTTTATTGGACCCTACAAAATAGGCTATCTACGGGCAAAGGTGAAATAAATTGATAATGTACAGAACTGTATGGATCTGTTTTGTTGTTCCAGGTTGTATCATTTGCTGGGGGTGATTGATGCCTTAGATTTAACGCATGTGATGAAATTATCAATTTTCCAAATCAACGTCCGTCTTAATTTTTTCCACACTCTGGTTTATCACTGCACCTTTAAAAAAACTGAGAATTAGGAAAAAGAAAGTGACTCCTTAATCGTAGTCCGTTGTTTCCTGTGTGACTACTATTTGCGTCAAAGCGTCATTTCGTGACGTGGTATTTGTTAACGTTTTAATAAAACAGTAGTTGCGGGCAAATTATATTTTAGATTATGATATTTATAACGCGTATTGTAACTATACAAACCACTCTTTGAATACAAAAAAAAAAACCAGGAATATGTTGCTGGTTACATAAAAGTGTGGATTAAGGTTTAAAAAGACTAAATGTTTATTTTAAGGAAACAGCAGAGACAACCTTGAGCAGATGAAAGAGGAAATTGCAGACATCAAAGAAAAGTTGGACACTTTATTGAACCGACTTCCTCTGGAAGAAAAGAAACTGAAGATGGAAGGTAAGATCTACTTTTTTAGCGGGAGCGGGGCAGACAATTGGACAGCTGTTGTGGGTCTCGTTCGGTTAAGATACTATTACGTATTTTACCTTCTTTGAGTCACGAGAAATTAAACCGGATCAACGGTAGTTATCTGTTTCGGCGAATGATGAGCTATAGATGAAACAAAGTAAATGGTCTGCTGCTGTAGTGAATAAATTGAAAACATATTCTAAGCCGAAACCGCCACAAAATCTTCAAAATGGTAGGGTTGCGTATAGGTGTAACTTACTATTAAGAGGATAAAGGACTCATTAAGTTATTCAAGTTATCGCCTTGGTTCTATATTACGCTTATGAGCCCCACTGTTTTGTGGTTATCAATCTGCTTATAGAAAATGTTACCTGACCAATGACAGTAGTTATTTTATTTTTGGTATCACCATCGCCCTGAAATAAGTCAAAACTAAAAGCTGTTGTTGTGGTAGAAGAAACGAAAAAATAAAGTTATGGTTTAACTGAACGTGAGTGCAAAGAGCACCTTGTATAAGCTTGAAACTAAAATTGACTTATGTTCCACCGCAGAAAACCTCAAAGAGACACTTGAGCAAATGAGAAATCAAGTGAAAAAGTTGGGATCACTCCTAGACGAAGGTCAGTAGACGTCAACTGAGATATTTGGACGTATAGAGATTCTATCACTAGGCAATAAAAAAATAGCGGGTTCTTCCGTAACTTAAGCGGTGAACAGCGACTAATACATTAATAAACAAACGGAAAAAGCAACGGGATGACAGTTTAGCAACTAATGTTGGTAGTTATTGCTTGTTCAAACTGGGAGAAATTTGATAATTTCCAACGTCGATATTTGTCTATCTATATTTTGACATAACTATGGCAGTGATAGCGAAAGCTGATGTTAATTTTCAGACAAACTTCAACAGATGAAAAGTGAGATAGCGAACATGAGTGAGAAGTTAGACACTTTGGTAGCACAAAGAGAGACCGACGATGAGAGACCGACGATGAAGGTCACTGTGTCACAGCCGCCCTCTGTCTTTCGGAGAGGGAGGCTGTGATACAGGCTAGCAAGAGACACATTTCTGACGAAAGTGAATTTAAAGGAAATAATTTGGCTTAAACTCAACTTTTAGCAAGTTTTATAATTGTTATTGCAATGTTGTGTAGATGAAGGTATTTCATGGGCTTATGAAGGAATTTGTCTGCTCTGAACGATTATCAGGGCTGATTTTCTGTCAATGACTCACTCCACCGGCACTAGTTTTGGTGGACTCTCTATTACCCGCTTTATTTACATGTTTCGTGATCTTTCGTGACATGAAGACAAGATCGTGCTGTACTTAAGCTCCATTCTGATTGTCTTGGTGAAACATGACTCAGAAGCAGAACTGCTTCCACGGTGCAATCAACCTCTATACCTGAGAATAATTTGACAAAAGACGAACAACAAGCACTGAAACGAATGCAAAACGACACCAACATTGTTATACTACTAGCCGACAAAGGACGTGTCACTGTTGTTATGGAGAAGGCTGACTACTTCGACAAAATGGACGGCAACATCTAGAGTGCATCACGCCAACTCTGAAACATTAAAATGGTAATAAAATCTAAAACTAAAAATTAAACAATTGTCGACGACAAACAAACTTACGAACAACTTAAACGCGACCCGACGCCAGCACTTCAACGTAAACTTAACAGAAAAATACTTACGCTTAAAAAGACTGACGCTATTGACACTCGACGCTACTATCGACTCAGGTGCTCAGTACCAGAACTACCGAAACTTTACGGACTACCGAAACTGCACAAACATGGTATACCTATGCGACCTATCGTGTCATTCTGTGGGTCCCCTACGTATCAACTGTCTAAGTACTTGACGACCATACTGCAACCCCTTACTGNGCACAAACATGGTATACCTATGCGACCTATCGTGTCATTCTGTGGGTCCCCTACGTATCAACTGTCTAAGTACTTGACGACCATACTGCAACCCCTTACTGACAAATCAAGACGCAAACTCCAATCTACAGAGAACTTAATTGACGCTATTAAGACAGTACAGATACCTGACGACTACAAACTTGTATCTTTTGATGTGAAATCACTGTTCACCAGTATTCCACTTCTACTGGCATAACAGTGTACCGAGACGGCTATACAACAATCTACCGTTAAACTACCGTTACCGACAGAAGACATCCTGGATTGACTTGATTGTATTTCAACTCAAGGTAATGTACAACGCTTTATTCTCAGACAATACGAGAGATGATTTCAAAGAGATGGCAACGGACAAACGGACCATTAATGAAAAGCTGAAAAGTCAAGTGACATCAGGAGAAGAAGGTATAGATTTTACATGGCGATTTTATTGAACCCCTCGAAAAAGTGAAGCAAGTTGATAATGTATAGAACTGTACGGAGCTCTTTTGTTGGAATGAAAGAAAAATGAAGTGATAACACGTATGTCTACTCAAGATGGAAAACCGATATTCTTTAATACCCATATATGCCAGGTTCTATCATTTGCTGCGTGATTGATGCCTTCGATCTAACGTGTGGAAAGAAATTATTTATTATCCAAATCAATGTCCGTCTTAATTTTTCCCCCAACTCTGATTTATTACCGCACCATTAAAAAAACTAGGAAATACGAAAAAGAAAGTGACAACTCAACCCTAGTCCTTTGTTTCCTGTGTCACTTCTATTTGCGTCATATCGTCATTTCATGGCGTGGTATTTGTTTAAGTTTAAATAAAACAGTAGTTGTCGCAAATTATATTTTACATTGAGATATTTATAACGTGTATTGTGACTATACAAACTACTCTTTGAATAAAATAACACCGAGGAATATGTTGCTGGTTACATAAAAGTGTGAATTAAGGTTTAAAAAGACTGCATGTTTATTCTTAGGAAACAGCGGAGACAACCTTGAGCAGTTGAAAGAGGAAATTGCAGACATCAAAGAAAAGTTGGACACTTTAATGAACCCACTTCCTCTGGATGAAAAGAAACAGAACATGGAAGGTAAGATCTACTTTTTCAGCGGGAGCGGGGCAGACAATTGGACAGCTGTTGTGGTTCTCGTTCGGTTCAGGGTTGTGTATGTGTAACTTTCTATTAAGAGGATAAAGGATGCATTAAGTTATTCGAGTTATCGCTTTGGTTCTATATTACACTTATGAGCCCCACTGTTNGTGTGTACAGACCTCACTGCGTTCGGTCTGTACTCACGACCTCGGTCAAGATTCTTCCATACAGACCTCCTGCTCGGTTAATAAGAGCTAAGTATTGACCATGCGTAAATTTGGTCTTGCCAAAGAAAAAGAATCCATTCTCGACCCAATGCAACCTGAAAATATTGCAGCACATACTGCTGCATTGTCAGCCTTCTCCTTCTCGTTTCACTGGCGGACAATTTTTCGCAAAATTAAAATCCTTCGTCGCTCAGTATCTTCGTCCGCCATATTGAATACTCTACGTTTAAAACCTTTTCCACTGGCCGACATACCAGTCAGTATTCACGCTGAATTAAGTGCGACACAAGTGCGACGTATGAATCGACAGTCGCCTTTCTGCCGCACTCAATTGAATTGAATTCGACGCGGCAGAAATGCGACGTATAAACCGGGCCTAACAGACGCACGGGAACATGGAATTTACTCGCTTTATATGGTAAGGAAACAAAGAAATGTTGATGACGTCATGTGTTCGTTGTTCTTCCAATTGATCTTTCGTAAGAACTAATCAAAATGCGAGAATAATTCCACTGATTATACAAATAGCTGGTGAAGCCCGTAGATGAGTCCTTTTTATTCTTAGGGCAAACATATATTTCGATATGTTTAAATTTAAAAAGAAGTTAACTCTGTCCTTGCTTTAGTAAAGAGCCTTGATGTGACCACAACCAATAGCGGTCATGTAAAGACTGTCTGGATTTCGCTTAATCAAAACTAAATATTTATTCATAGAAAACACCAGGGACAAAGTCGTGGAGTTGAAAGTTGTAGTGGAAAACATGAAGGTAGATTTGGATGCTTTAATAAACCGACTTCCCCCTGTAAAAAAGAAACCAAGGATGGAAGGTAAGGTCTACTGATATTTTCTGGGAGATGTAGTTAGCCTGGCTACCTCTTGTCCTAAACTAGAAAATCGGAGAAAGTTGCGCACAGGCTTGATGTTGACTTTTCACAGCCGTCTGTTTTCTCGTTTTTTTATTCGATCGTTGAACGCACGGGTAGAATCGCGAGAGAACTGGACACCAGCACAAAATGAGACGGGGAGCGAGATAAATGTTCTTTGTTCCCTTCGCTCGCTTCCCCGCCCAACCCCCTCGTGCTTTGCGCACGTGCTCGCTTTTTCCTTCAATCGCGTGCGTTGAAAAAATGAGAGGCTGTTAACAGTCTAGTTTACTGCAGTTAGATATTGTGGGACAGGTCTGGTTGAAATCTTCTTCCGTACGCTGGTGTATTGGAAGGTATTTCCTGGATTGCAAATGAGATGGAAAGAACAAGCTAAATGGTCCGCTGCAGTAAGTACTATTCGCACCAGTCCCTTGCGGAGCGAGTATAAGATCCGACTCCCTAATGTATTCATATCACTTTCACGTAACTAGCGTGCTCGAAGCACCTCATCCTTTGCTCGCTCTAGTAATTTGCTGCTATGGCGGATGAAGTTGCTCAAGCTTCGGCCGTTCCAGGTCAGTTCGTATGTTTCGCTTGTGTTCTTGTTGTGTACCTCGGCTTCTCACTATCTCGCTGCCTCTCCTAGTTGTTTTTACTGTTTCCCTCCCTTTGTTTTTCGTTTTGCTTCGTTGGTTGCTGCCGTTTGCGTGCTTTTCTTTCCGTCCCGTTTTTTTTTTTTGTATTTCGTTTGGCACGTTCTTCGTCTTTCACGTGCTTGTACACAGCTTTGTCATGTTCCGCCCGCAATGTGGGCTGAGAAGCCAAGAAGATTTTTATTCCATTTTATTCCCCAATGTGCGTTAGCAGCGTTCGGAAGGCGAAAACACCTTGTTAGTAGTAACAATCTTTTATTAGGAAGCTCCATCACTAAA